TTTTTTTACTAGAATCCGTGGCTGTCTTTTTAGGTGGACTACTAACACGCCCACCTTTATTTTCTTGGCTTTCCTCAGAGTGTGGAGGGTTGTCGAGACAAGTGAAATACCTAAACATTTTTTCGTAATGCTTAAACTTCTCAACAAGCACTGACCGATCCTTCCCGATCTCAGAAAAACCATTTCTGGACTGCCTTAAGAATTTAAATAAATCAACTTCGGTTGATCTACATTTTTGACAAGACCAACGAAGACCCTTACCCTCGTTAATAGCGTCTAATACTCTACCGCTTAAACCAGCACATTTTATATGGGCAATCCCATCGCAGAGCCAGCATGACACATAGGAGTCGGTTTTAACGTGGCAATTGGTGTAAATACACGACATGTTTAAAATTATATTTTGGATGCAATTGGTAATCGAACGTTGATTGGCGCAGATTTCTTGGAGCAAGCGGGAATAGTTTTGAATATGGGTCAAAGATACTGGTACTTTGAGAGTAATCCAACACCGCATTTTGACTTCGCCGAACAACTGCCACTCGAATTAAATGTTGTGGAAAGAGTGAAAGTATGCGCAGTCGAAACCAAACGCAAACCAGAAGAAGCAGCTTTCAAAGAGATTGATAAGCCAAAAGTCTATATGTCTGAGTTTGAGTATTACTGTCCTGATCTGCCAAACGATTACTCACCACATACTATACAAAGTATTTTTAAGGATGCCATTCCACCAAACATGGTTACGCCCGAACGAAGCAAAGGGCCTAGCTTGTTTAACGGGGTTGTTTTTAATAACACTGCCACTGATAATATTGATTTATTTTCATTTGACTTTCGATTCCTTAAAGAAAGTGATGTCGTGGGGTTGGAAGTTGCAGAGAAGATTCGGCTCGATAACATTCTCCAATCGCATGCAAACGTTTTTAGTGCGTCGCGTGAGCCTACGCCATATGCTCAGCATTTTATCGATACTGGTGAACACGAGCCCATTGCATCACCTGCGTACCGATTGTCGTTTGCGAAACTAAAAGAACTAAAAAGCGAGATTAACAAAATGCTCGAAAATGAAGTTATTGAAGAATGTGAGTCAGCGTGGTCATCACCTGTTGTTATGGTGCCTAAAAAAGACGGTGGTACTCGTGTCTGCGTTGACTATCGCAAGCTAAATGCGATAACAAAACCAGATCGATACCCCTTGCCTCGAATGTATGACCTGTTGCACGCTGCAAAGAGTACCAAATTCATGACAACTTTAGATCTACAAAGCGGGTATTTTCAAGTTGCAGTTGCAGAAAAAGACCAAGACAAAACGTGCCTTATTACGCCTTTTGGTACATATCGGTTCAGGAGGATGCCTTTTGGTCTTCGCAATGCACCTGCTACATTTCAACGATTGATTGATCGGTTCAAGACAGCCTTGCCAAATGTGCACATTCTCGCATATCTTGATGATATCATAATTTGCTCACCATCGTTTACAGTGCACTTAAATGACTTGAACGATGTATTTGTAAAGCTAGAGAAGTTTAAGTTGCATGTTAATTCTGGCAAATGTCGGTTTTGTGTGCCAGTGTCAAGTACCTTGGCTATATTATAACAACCGCAGGCATACAAGTTGATCCAGGAAAAACTCTGGCGATCACACATCGACGAGAACCACGAAATATTAAAGAACTGGTATCATTCATACAAACATGCTCTTGGTACCGACGCTTCATTGATCGTTTTGCTGAAACTGTTAAGCCACTTACCGACTTAATGAAAAAGAATGCTGAATGGCAGTGGGGAGTCCCAGCAGAGAGAAATTATTCAACTACCGAACGCGAAGCGCTCGCCATTGTGTGGGCATGTGCCAAATTCAGAGGGTACATCGAAGGAGCCGAAGTATTATTGATGTCCGACCACCAACCGCTAAAATGGCTATTAACAACAAAATCACCGTCAGGCCGCCTTGCAAGGTGGGCATTGCAAATACAGCAATATAACCTAAAGATTGACTATACGCCAGGGAGAACAAATTCTGTTGCCGATATGCTATCACGACCACCCTGCGATGAGAAAGATAACTCTGTGAACTGTATTTGTGCTTTCCAAGCCGACTTTCCACGTAAAAAGGCAGATGAGTTACGAGAAGGTCAACTTAAAGATAGTTATTTGAAAAACATACTTACTTCTTTAGAAGAAGTTGACGAAAATGCCACCTTATGGTGCAATCGTGGCTACGTTCTTAACAACGGCGTATTACATTGTTATGCGAGTGATGACTCAGATGACGCACAACTCGTGATACCTGACCACGAGCGTGTGAACATCCTGAAGACGTATGACGACGACTGCACTGCCGGTCACTATTTTAAGCCGCTACTTCTGGCCAGGAATGCGCACAGAAATCACGAAGTATGTAAAGAAGAGCGTTGAATGTCAACGGTACAAAGCAAGTAATATGAAACCAATGGGGTTGCTTCAAACAACAAGCAGCAAACAGCGATTCGAAGTTGTTGCAGTAGATCTATTTGGTCCCTTACCAAGAACTGAAGATGGTTTTCAATGGATCTTGATTGCGGAAGATGTTGCCACCCGATGGGTCGAATTATTCCCCATAAAAGAAGCGACTGCCGAAAATTGCGCTAAACTACTGGTTGATGAGATCTTCCTACGATATGGTGTCCCCAGGCGTCTTAAGTCCGATAATGGAGTGCAATTCGTGTCTGCAGTTATGCAACAAATAGTTTACTGCCTGGGCATTCTTCAAGTTTTTCACCGGTTTATCACCCCGAAAGCAACCCAGTTGAACGGAAGAACAGGGATCTTAAGGCTCAACTGGTAATTATCGTTCAAAATCAACATAACGTATGGAATATTGGGTTACCCTCAATACGGTTTGCAATCAACTCAGCGAAATGTCAATCTACCGGCTACACAGCAGCGGATCTCACCTTTGGAAGAGAGTTGCGCACAATTGATGACGTAGAGCACGATATATGAACAATAGCAGATAATGAGAATTTTATTCCACAAATTACACCGTATCTGAAAAGCATAGCAGACAATTTGAAGAACGCTCGAGAGGTCGAACAGAAGATGCAAGATCGCAACAAAATGTTATAGTTTCTGACAAATTAATGAATTAATGGAATGATTATTCCAGTTATTTTTTATTTTTTGATGAAAAAATTAAAAAAAAACTCAAACTTTAACAGGATAAAAATTAAGAAAATAACAGGTTCTGTGCCAAATTTTTACATTTGTGCTAAAGCTTGTTCTGTTACAAAAAAAAAATCAAGTTACTAATTAAGAAAATCGATGGATTAATAAGACATAATAAGTGGTCAAAAGAAAATACGCAAAGATTTTTTGTATGAAAAATCAGCAGGAAAGAAAGTTACTCATACGCCAGGTACACCTGAGTAACACGCTTTTCTGCTCATATTTCATACAAAAAAATCTTTGTGCATTTTCATTTGACCACTTATTATGCCTATGTTACAAAAAAAAATCAAGTTACTAATTAAGAAAATCGATGGATAAATAAGACATAATAAGTGGTCAAAAGAAAATACGCAAAGATTTTTTGTATGAAAAATCAGGGGTAAAGAAAGTTACTCATACGCCACGTACACCTGAGTAACACGCTTTTCTGCTCATATTTCATACAAAAAAATCTTTGCGCATTTTCATTTTACCACTCATTTTTTCTTATTTATCCATCGATTTTCTTTATCAGTAACTTAATTTTTTTTTTAACAGAACAGGCTTTAGCACAAAGCAAAAATTTGGCACAGAACCTGTTATTTTTTAAATTTTTCTTCTGTTAAAGTTTGATAAAGATATAAATGTATACAGTGTTTCTCCCAATTATACATCACTTCTTTCTTATTCAGAATCAAAACAAATATGAAAAAATAGTTGTTAAACTCAGAGTTAGATATGCGATATCTGTTACGTTATATCGTATACTTTCTGCGACAAACAGTCTACACAAGCGATATATCTCTTACGATGCTTCGCATGAGAGCGTCCATATAAGGTATAGGTAAGCGGCCTGAGGAAACAAAAAATTACTATTTGACATATTAGCAATAAATAAATGATGTTTTTATTAAAACTTGCTTCTTCACTTACCATCGTTAATAATATTGTTTTAATACAATTTTAGAACGCAGAAAGACGATCTGAACGTAGCAATAAAGAGCAAGAGACCTATGAAGAAGAGGAAGAATCTGATTCAGATGCAGATGATTTTATTGTTGACGATGAAGGCCGCCCAATAGCAGAGAAGAAGAAAAAGCGAAGACCAATATTTACCGACGCGTAAGTATACAAATAGTTCGTTCTTGCTCAAAGAAATTCGATAAAATGTGTAATTATATGGCAATTGACGAAATTTATTTCTTGTCGGTTTGATTTATAATTTCAACGTCAGTTATGGTGCATATGTACAAGGTTACAAATTACAAAACTAAAAAGACAAAAACTATAAAAAAAAACAATTCATTGACATTGACAGTAGCCCGTTTCTGTATCTTTGCGATATGAATTATATCGCAAAATGCAACCCTTCTGCGTAGTTATCGCAAGGTAGTGTTTCTGTAAGTGTGATGTAAATGTATTTGCGATATAACTTGCGTTATTTATATCGCAAGCTCTAAGTGTAGTGATATTTGGCACAATAAGCAAGATGAATGAAGTGTGTTTTTTTTTTGTTATGTATGTTACCGCATAACTTTGGACCACGTTAACCGATTTCTATAATTCTTTTTTTAAAGAAAAGGCGTTACCTCACAGGTGGTCCCATACTAATTTGGTTTAAATTCGATCATTGGATCATGAAGTAATTAACGATAATCTTAAATTTTTATATGAGAATTTAAGTGGGTTTTGTTTTTTGCTTACTTATTTTATTAACTTACTTCAAAAAAAGGAGAAGGTATCAATTCGTCGGAATATTTTTTTTTTAAATTTTTTTTATGTACTTTGGACCACGTCAACCGATTTCGATAATTCTTTTTTTATCGGAAAGGTGTTGCCTCAAGGGTGGTCCCATACTAAGCTAGGATCCGATCATTTGGTCATGGAGAAATTAACGGTAATATAAAATGTTTATATGAGAATTGAGGTCGGTTTTGTTTTTTGTTTGAAAATTACTTGTTTCATTACTTTTATTTTACAGAAGGCAAAACTTCTGGATTTAATGAAAACAAGGTGACAGTGGATACTTTGGTCACCATTTCGCTTAAAAAGATTAATTTCATTTCATTAATTTAATTTCATTATCGCTTAAGAAGATTAAGGGCCGGTATTATGCATTTTTAAGTTAAACTTAAGTCTAGGCTAAGATTTTGCGTTTCACCAACCACTTTTTCACCAAAACTTTAGTTCAACTTAAGTCGCGAATATTGGTGCTTCCATATTTCTAAATGTAATATTTTCCATACTTAAGTATGCATTGTGAAACTCAAATTTGAGCAAAATATTAAACTGATCTTACTTAGGGTTTACACCGGACAATACTGTCATGACAATAGCAATACATGCACACTTCTTCACTAATACATGCATACATTTCCATACATTGCGTTTTTGACAACTAATACGTATTTCTTTATTGTCTTGACAGCATTTTCCNAATAAGCAAGATGAATGAAGTGTGTTTTTTTTTTGTTATGTATGTTACCGCATAACTTTGGACCACGTTAACCGNCGATAAGCAAGATGAATGAAGTGTGTTTTTTTTTTTGTTATGTACATATGTTACCGCATAACTTTAGACCACGTTAACCGATTTCTATAATTCTTTTTTTAAAGAAAAGGCGTTACCTCACAGGTGGTCCCATACTAATTTGGTTTAAATTCGATCATTGGATCATGAAGTAATTAACGATAATCTTAAATTTTTATATGAGAATTTAAGTGGGTTTTGTTTTTTGCTTACTTATTTTATTAACTTACTTCAAAAAAAGGAGAAGGTATCAATTCGTCGGAATATTTTTTTTTTAATTTTTTTTATGTATGTTACCGCATAACTTTGGACCACGTCAACCGATTTCGATAATTCTTTTTTTATCGGAAAGGTGTTGCCTCAAGGGTGGTCCCATACTAAGCTAGGATCCGATCATTTGGTCATGGAGAAATTAACGGTAATATAAAATGTTTATATGAGAATTGAGGTCGGTTTTGTTTTTTGTTTGAAAATTACTTGTTTCATTACTTTTATTTTACAGAAGGCAAAACTTCTGGATTTAATGAAAACAAGGTGACAGTGGATACTTTGGTCACCATTTCGCTTAAAAAGATTAATTTCATTTCATTAATTTAATTTCATTATCGCTTAAGAAGATTAAGGGCCGGTATTATGCATTTTTAAGTTAAACTTAAGTCTAGGCTAAGATTTTGCGTTTCACCAACCACTTTTTCACCAAAACTTTAGTTCAACTTAAGTCGCGAATATTGGTGCTTCCATATTTCTAAATGAAATATTTTCCATACTTAAGTATGCATTGTGAAACTGAAATTTGAGCAAAATATTAAACTGATCTTACTTAGGGTTTACACCGGACAATACTGTCATGACAATAGCAATACATGCACACTTCTTCACTAATACATGCATTCATTTCCATACATTGCGTTTTTGACAACTAATACGTATTTCTTTATTGTCTTGACAGCATTTTCCAATGTAAACGCGCTGTTAGCTAAGGTTTTTCGCCACTAGGACCTAAGTTCAACTTAAGTTAGGTTGGTGAAACCAGCCCGAAGAATTCTATGTATGCAAATAAATTAGGGTGTTCGATTATTCGCCTGAGTAGTAGGTAGGGTTATTGACTCGGTTTATCCAAACCGCCTCCACCGGTGTTTTTTTTGGATATCCATAGTTGTTTTTTTTAATCGTGAGTCTTCGAGTATCGAATAGACCGGATTTTTTTTTATCGGACAAACCGGGGTTTTCCATTTCATAGAATTCTTGACCTCTCAATAAAAATTTTGAGTTTTTCGACGTTTTCACAGCTTTTTCCAGTTTAAGGGAAATCCCTAAATGGGTAGATCTACACTCTTACTCCAGCTTTGAAGAAGCCTTTTTATGGCAGAAGTACACTCCGAGGTTTGCCATTGTCTGCCAAGGGACGACTGCTATTTCAAAAACACTTTCTGATGTTGCTGGGACCAAAAGAGCACTACTTAAATCCAAAAAAGGCAGAAAAAATGCAATAAAGTATTAAAAACCGTTATAATAAGACCAAACGTCAATTTTCAGTGATTTTTATTTGTTTTACTTTGGATCTAAAGAAAAACTTTNATTGAAACATGGACCTCCCGAGTGGCAGTAGGCACATCTAAGCACTCGGCTACGACGGAAAGAGCACTACTTAAATCCAAAAAAGGCAGAAAAAATGCAATAAAGTATTAAAAACCGTTATAATAAGACCAAACGTGAATTTTCAGTGATTTTTATTTGTTTTACTTTGGATCTAAAGAAAAACTTTGAACTTATTTTGCTTTGCTATTTTCTAAAAAAAGTTTTATTGTAATTTTTGGTCATGACTTCATACCAATATAAGCATTTTCACTGTATGAAAACTATGTAAAATAAAACCGGTTTATCCGGGTTTCTCTTAATTTCAAAATAGGGAACCGGGTTTTTTAAATTTCAATTTTTCGAATAACTCGTAAACCGGTTTTGGAAAAACGGCGAATAATCGATTACCCTAGTAGTGGGCCGAGCAACATAAAAAAATAGCGGCCGCCCTTCGGCAGACTATGGCAAACCTCCAAATGTACTCCTGGCATAAAAAATGCTTCTTCGGAGGTGGAGTAAAAGTGAAGATCTCGCCATTTTTTCATTTATTTATTTATTAAGTCTACATAAAAATGTTTTCTTACTGACAAATGAGATAAAAATATTTAGATATTTAAGTATGTATGATATATTACAGAGTAAACTAATTATACATATTCATTTGTAATTGCAATGCGATAAAAGCAGACAATTTGCAACCCTAAAAAACTTCTATAAATCACCTTATATGAATTCGCCTTAAATCTAATCTACTACTAGTACGTAAGAATTTACGATATTAGAATGCGACCCTGTCATATATATGACAGGGTCGCATTCTAATATCGTAAATTCTTACGTACTAGTAACGGGTGATTTTTTAAGAGCTTGATAACTTTTTTTTTAAAAAAAAAGTTATCAAGCTCTTAAAAAATCACCCGTTACTAGTACGTAAGAATTTACGATATTAGAATGCGACCCTGTCATATATATGACAGCTGCTAGGCTTAAGTCAAAAAGTGAAAAATAAATTGGCGGCATTCGCCCGCGTACCTTTAGACCGAAAAGTCCAAGCTTTTTTTTTTATTTGAACGGAAGCCGGCCAACTAGCGCCAACCGACTTGTGAGTCGAGGCGCCAGCATTCAGGAGTATCAGCACATCTATTTGTGCGTACGAACCGCGCACCAAAAACGTTTGCGCGTAGCAAAACTGCAGAGCACCAACCAGCGGGGCAAAAGGCGTGCAACTGCACGCAGGTGGCAGCGAAGCGCTAGGGCTACCCACCAAATCGGGCGTTGGCCGTAAGCAGCACCGGCGTAGCAGGGCTCCCACACCAAAGCGGGCGTTGGCCGGCAGCAGCGCCGGCGGAGCACCAGGACTCCAGCGCGTGTAGAGGTACGCTACCCCTTTCATCTAACGAAGTGGAAACAGCGCTTCATATGGCGACCGTGGGGGTCAAAATGGCGGCCCTCGGGCGAGGAAAAAAAGGGGCAAAGCCAACAAAAATTTGCTTTAAATAAAGGTGAATCACCAATACAAAACATACAAAATAGAATGGATTTAAATTTTATTTAACAAAAAAATCGGAACAAATAAATGGAGCTTCTGCTGAGATAGCCCAATTGAGTTTAAGATCTCTAAAAGCGTCTTTTCTTAAAAGGTGCCGAGCTTGTATTAGAGTAGAAGGTCGCCAATTTGAGCATATTTTATCAATAAATGAATAAATTT